AAGGCAGATTGCAAAAAATGTGTTAACAGGCGGACATCACTTATAAAATTAGTGTCTAGTAAACAAAAACTTAAACAGAATTTTGACAATTTGCTCTTGTCAAGTGCTGAAAATAGAAGAATTAAGCAAGCTTATAAACGAAAAGTAGACAGAATCAAAATTGCGCAAAGAAAGACGGGAGTTAAAGAGGATTGTGATGCAAAATGATGCTGAAATAAAAAAAATTGAAGAAGTCTATTGAACTGGTCTGTCCAAAAGTGCAGAAGAAGAAACGTAAACATACGTGTAAATTTAGGAGACTGTTGGGAGAAGTCAGAAAAGAACTGAACTGTGCAAGAAAAAAAATCAAAGAACTGGAAGTGGATAATGACAAACTGCAGGGATTATTACTGGACTGTGAATCTTCAACTGACTGTGACACTGTGTCAGTGAAGAAGGATTCGAAAACATATTCCTCATCCTACAGACTTGCAGCATACTCATGCATCCTCCACCAGGTGCCAGTGGAGGAGACAAGTAATCTTATAGCAGATGTTGTTGAGAATATCACAGGCTATAAGGTTGAAGGAAAGGCTGATGTTTCAACTGTTGCCCAGTTTGCATATGAACTTGGTGTGTTAAGTGAAGTGCAGGTTGCAGAAGCAGTAGTGAATGAGAAATCTGTTGATCTTACTCTTGGTTGGGATGCAACATCCCTGTCAGCTCAGTACATCAATGAGGTTCATCTCATGTTTCCGGGCGATCCCCCTCCCTGCCCACGGGGACTTCAGTTACAGGTGAATGCATTAGCAGGAGGGACTACAGATGACTTTGAGACTCATATAAAGGAAGCGCTCAGTGACATCAGTGAAACATATTCAAGTCTAACATCTACCAGTTCTTTGGAAGTGAGCAATATTTTCATCTCAAAACTCAAAAACACCATTTCAGATCGAGTGGCTGTAAACAAATGTGTCAGAGAAAAACTGGAAGAAGATTTAAACATCGAACTGTTGCAGCTGAATTGTAATATCCATCCTCTTGATGGTATAGCCAATGAGAGCAGGACTTCTCTTAAACAATTGGAGAAACAAAAGCAGATCGTGGGACAGCTTCTCGGTCGTGGCTGCTGTGCAGATAATTTGATATATGCTCTGTCAAAAATGAGATTTAAGCAAGGAAAAGGTGACCCCAAAGGCTTCAAATCATTCCTCAAAAAAGTTGGCATTGATCTCAAACTGATTGTTTGATACGTAGGGAACAGACTCCATGTTGTGTTCCATTTAGCAGGAATATTTTTCAACTACAGAACACAGATTTTAGATTACCTGCAGTATTTTTGCAACTGTACCAGTGGATTACGCACATCGATCATCAAGGACCTCACCAACGCTTCAATCGTTGTTCACCTGCAGAGCCTGGGTCTGTTGGGGAAGATTGTAACTGGGCCATGGATGTCTCTTCTCTATGGTAACAAGGCTAGCAAAACGAACCTTGAGGTTGTTCCCTTCTTGAAGTGTGCTGTTGAAAACCTGAGCAAATTTGAAGAAGAGCCTCTTAATGTCCTCAAAGCCAAGAAGGATGTTTTTGAGAATCCATTGAAGGAGAATTATGTCCTCAGATGTCTACAACAAGTGGATGATGAATCCCAGAGTGAGCTGAAAGAGACTCTTCAAGGCAACGGTCAGGGTGCTAACCCAGCAGCTACAACCATACCTCTCAGGAGTCTTGTCCAAACCTTCCACTGCATTGTTGGAGCAGACCAAGTCAGCCCCTGTTGATAACATGTTTAGTGAAAGAGTTATCACCATGGTTGATAGCCAGCACCACCGCGCACCAAATGCCACTATGGGATACATTGACGGGAAGGTGCGTGCAAACCAGAACAAGACCCTTGAATGGTTGAAAAAGAAGGACTGTATTGAGCAGAACCACCTCATCCTGTTTGCTGTCAAGCGAGCAAAGCAAGTGAGGAGAATCAGAAGGGAAAGGGAAAGACTACGTGAAAAGGAATACCAGGTCAGACAAGAAAAGAAGAAGCAAAAGAAGGAAACCAAAAACCGGAACACCGTGGAGAAGAAACTGAAAGCAGCAGTAGAAAGTGGTGAACTTAAGGATGAGCTGGCCAAAGAACTGGGTTTGAGTGAAGAGCAGAGAGAAGTTCTTGGTGATGTTGTGATCAATCCCAAGAGTCTGGTTGATTGTTGTATTGACCATGTCTGGTTTTCTGAAGAGGATGGATGCAATGTACTTTACCATGGTAGGGTGTTGAGAGTGTGGCAAGAGAGAAATGGCTTGAAAACAGTTTGTTTGTCATACTGGAGAGACAGTGAGGCTGAGGAGGAGTGTGAGGACCATCAGATGCCCCTCTTCAAATTCCTGACAGACTACAGTCTGGGTGATCTTGTGTTCCATTAAAAGAGAGGGGGAAAAAGTTTTAAATCTGGGCATAAGGTGCAGTTTTAGAAACCTCTCATTCTGAGCTCCATTTTGATACCCTACACAATATAGTTTGGCACAACGTAAAGTTTGCAGTTTTTCTCCAATGTGGACACCATTATTCAATATGGCCACCACAGATTGTACATAATACTTGAAAATTATGTCATAGTGAATACTTACAGTCATAGTTGTACAGAATTCACCTTAGAATGCATCACAAATTGTGCATATGTTTGTTTTCATTGAAGTAACCGTTTGTTAGCTTCAAGACTGCACCAATGTGACCTTTGACCTTGGAGTCATCAAGGTCACCTGGTGACCCCAAGGTCAGCAGGAAAAACATTTACATATATTCAGTGACATCACC